GGGGGGGGGGGGGGGGCTTGTGGTTGTGTGTTGTGTTGGGGTGTGTCTGGTCACTTCAAGGAAGTAGTATTGGTTCTTAGCCGGGTCGTAGAGGAACTCCACTGTGCCCGCGTTGGTGTAGCCCACCTGATCATTGAACGCACCATGGTCTCTCTCCCTCCCTCCCTCCCTCCCTCCCGACACTCTCTCTGTGTGTGTCTGTGTCTGTAACGGTGCTGACCGCCTTAGCGAGCCTGCAGGCGGCGTCCTCCATCTCCTGGACGACATGTCTCGCTGCGATGACGGCCGGCCCCTCCTCGATGATCTTCTGGTGGCGCCGCTGGATGCTGCAGTCCCTGCTGCCCAAAGACACCACCGTGCCGTGGAGGTCTGCAAAGACCTGCACTTCCAGGTGCCTGTGGTTTGGTCAGACACACAGAGAGACAGACAGTTTGGCTTGTGCGAATGGTTCTTCTCATTCTCTCTGTCTCTCTGTGTGTGTCTGTGGGGGAGGGGGAGGGGAAAGGCACCTGCACTTGGTGACGAGCTGCATGACGAAGACGGTTGCACCCTTGACCTCGTTGACCACCTGGTGGAAGTTGCTCGTCACCTCCTCCGCCTTGTGGCACATCCTGACATCCACACACACACACACACACACAGAGAGAGAGAGAGAGAGAGAGGAGGGGCGTGTCAGGGGGCAAGAGTGTGGTGTGGGTACGCACCGGATGCCTTTGCCGCCGCCGCCCTCTGCGGCCTTGAGCATGACGGGGAAGCCGATGCGCTCACACACGGCCAGCGCCTGAGATCCACAGACACACACACAGAGAGAGAAAGAGAGATCGTCATGAAGCAGAGACAAACACCCAACCCCACCTTCACATACCTCCTTGCCCGTCTTGACACAGGCCCTCTTGATGATCTCGACAGAGAGATCCTTGGGGTTGACGTCCGGCGGCAGCGTCACGCCGTCGCCCGACCAAGGAACACACGACACCTTGGCCGTCTGAGCGATTATCGTTGACCTGCACACAGACAGCCAGACAGACAGACAGGCAGGGAGGCTTGTGTGTGTGTGTCTGTCTGTCGTCTCGTCTGTGTGTGGTGGGGTGTGCGTGTGAATGAAAGGTACCCACCCGATTTTGTCTCCGAGACAGAGCATGGAGTTGGGGTTGGGGCCGATCCACACGATGTCGCGCTTGGAGTTCTCTATCAACTACACCACACAAGACAAAGAGACAGAGAGAGAGAGAGAGGGGATCATCGAGGGGCTGGCTCATTGCGTGCGCTGCGTCCCCCCCTCCCTCTCCCTCTCTCATCCCACCCAACGCCAGTACCTGTGGGAGCTTGAAGTTCTCTGAGGCATGCCCCCATCCGGGCCACACCGCGTCACAGCCATACTCCTCCGCAACCTTACCACACACACACGCACACACACAGAGATCAGCTTGTCTGGTCTGGTTTGTCGTTTGTGGCTGGCTGCGGGGGTAGGCTTGGTTTGTTGTGTTCACTCACCTGAACGATGAGCTGTAGGTTGGCGTAGTTGTTGTTGTTCGGCCCGCCCGGGACCTCCACGAAGATGTCGGCCTCGCTGATGAACTCGGCGCCAGCCTCGATGTCGTCCAACGTCGCCATCACAACAAACTGATGACACAATCAGATCAGCCGACCACCCCACCACACCCACCCCATCCATCCATCCAGGCAGCCCAGCCATCCAGGCAGCAGTCGTCTCTGTCTGTGTCTGACTCACCTCCACTTCTCTCTCGTGGCAGAAGGTGGCGTACGACCACGCCCGGATGGAGCGAATCGCCTGCATGCAACACACGCATCACACCCACATAAAGACAACACACACACACACACTCTCTCGTGTCGGCCCCACGCCCAGCCGAGCCCTCCGCACCTTGATGGCCGCATTGCCGTTGTTGGCGATGAGAATCCTCTTCAGTGCGCGGTTTCCCCCTTTGGCCTGACACACACACATCATTGTGTGTGTGGTGCTCTCTGTGCTGCAGCCACAGGTCGGTGAGTGGGGTGGGTACCTACCTTGACAAACTCGTCGAGGCGCCCTTGGCTGCCTTTCACCTCTGCTGCCTCGGGGGCGTGCTGGCCGCCCTGCCGCTGCCCGTTGGTCGCCATGGTGGTGTCCGCAGAGGGGGCGGGCAATGGCATACGCCTGGCAGCAGTGGTGGTGGCGGCGTCAGTAGTGTCACTGTCGCTGTGCTTCAAGACGTCAAGGCAACACCCACACACGGCACCCGTCGTGTGTGTGTTGCTTGTAGTGTGCGGATCAGCAGATCAGCAGGCCAGGCCAGATGAGCAGATCAGGCCAGATGAGCAGATGAGCAGATCCGGAGATGGCAGAGATCCGCCGGCTGGTTGCCGTAATGTCAGCTGCGGAAGCGCCTTTCCGCCCCTCTCCTCTCCCCGGCTAAGCTCGCAGAGGGGCTGTGAAACTGCTCGTAGCTGTGCTGTGTGCAGGGCAGATGCCGCGATGAAGAGTGGTGTGTGCTGCCTGTATCGGCGTTGTGAGATCTGAGATGAGAATGGCTTCGGCGGGCTGAGTTTATTCGGTTGTGTCAATCAGAACTTCCGCTCTCCGCCGTGCTCTCGGCTCAATGAGCCAAGATCTCCGCCATGATTGGTGATCTGACCGGCTGAGTTGAGCGATGGCGGGTTTTGCTGCTGGTGAGGTGCAGATGGTCACAGCGGCGGAGATCCTCTCGTCGCTGGCAGATCACCCAAACAACCCTCACAAGGCGCTCGCCGCCTTCGACAGGCTGACCCAGGCACTCCAGACGGGTTCAACACGAGTGCTGCAGGTGAGCAGAGCGGTGCATTGGACCTTGAATGGATGTGTGTGTCGGTGGTGTGTGTGCTGCAGGAGTTGGAGTTGGTATCTCATTCGTCGAGCGTCGAGAGGCTGCTGCAGCTGTGCGTGCTGGTCCTCACACAGACGCACAACCCCCACTCCCGCGTCGTTGCTGGCAGGTAGGGTACGGTATATATGTCCACACGGGCGTGTGTCCGCCAGCCAGCCAGCCAGACACCTACACTCACCTCTCTCTCTCTCTCTCTCTGTGTGTGTGTGTGTGTGTGTGTGTGTGTGTGCAGCATCGTCCGCCGGTTAGTGCGCGAGCGGTGGGCAGCGATTGCGCCTTCTCACCGGATTGACGTGCTGCGTGAGCTCGCCAAGTCCCTCTCTGCTGACGCCACGAACAGCACCACCACCAGCAGCACCACGAACAGCAGCAGCACCACTAAGGAGGTGCTTCTCACCTGCGGCATCTGGTGGAAGAAGGCCCTGTGCGAGGCGGCGAGCGACGAGGAGAGAAACGTCTATTGGGGCATGCTGCAGACGGCCATCGACGAGGGCTACAAGAAGCACGACCACACTGGTCAGCAGATGATGGCTTTGGCGCACCAGCTGGCAGCTCAGGTCGACTCGGCCGACATCGGCCGCATCTCGGTCACCCACGCGCAGCACACCGCACTGCACACGACCTTCGCGGCTACATACCTGCCGCCACTGCTGGTCGCCGCCACGAGCAGGCTCTGCCATGCCCTGCGCCAGACGCCGGCTCTATTCTCTTCCCCAGCGCTGTCGCCTTATATCGACGCCCTCTCTCTTGCTCTCCACTGGGGGAGAGGAGACTCCGACTCGGTGAGGATCTTCAGCCCTCCTGCCGACTGGGCGCCTCTCATTCTCGGCAAGGAGGACGGGAAGAGCCCACAGCCCCAACAGCCCCAGCAGCCCCAGCCCCAGTCGGTGCCAGAGCTCGGCCTGTTCGAGCTGGTGCTCCGCTGCTACGATATGGTCCGCCCGACGGCCGCCGTCGAAACCACAAACAACAATAGTGTCACGCGAGCCGCCCACTTCACTCGGCTCAAGGAGTGCCTGGTCGTCCTGATGGCCTTCAGACCGACCAACGCGTTGGTGGACAGACTGGGGGGGAGGGAGAGGGTGCATGGCTCGGGGGAGGGGGGCGTGGTGGCTTACCTCTTCCGCGCGCTGGTGCGGCTGTTCGAGAGCTCGTTGTATGTGCGTGCGAGGCGGGAGGGTGCGTGTGGCGCGGGGGGGACGGTGGCTGTGATGGAGGTCGTGGCTTTGTGCCACGGGCTGGACGTGCTGGCGCCACAGCTGGTGGCGGGAGGGGGCGGCCTGTTTGGCAACGTGATGGACGACGCGGCATTGCAGACGCTCATACGGTGAGGGTGTGTGAGAGAGAGAGTGAGAGAGTGGCGCCCGACAACCGACCTGTACTCATTATGGTGTGTGTGTCTGTCTGATTGTGTCAGAGTGACATTGGGTCTGCTCCAAGAGGACTACCACGAGGACTCTCTGCAGGCAGAGGCCCTCCAGCTCATAATGCAGGCGTGGGCCACCTGGGCCGACGCCCGGCCCCCCGCCGCCACCGCCAACTCCTCCTTCCCGCAGGCCTGTCACGCCCTATTCCGGTCCTTCATAGCCGACGACCACAACGTCGTCAAGACGGCGGACGACACACTCGACCAGATGCCCGGCGTGGGGCTGCACTTCGACACCACTCACGGCCTGATCCACTCACAGCTGACGAGGATGGCCGCTGTGGGCCGGATGGACGCAGATCAGAGCAGCGAGGCTCTGCTGCGGCATCTGGGGGAGAGGGTGCGACGGGCGCGTGTCGGTGTCGGTGTGGGTGTGAGTGTGGCGGAGAGGGAGAGGGAGGCGCTGCTTGACGGGCTTGACAACACGCTGCTGCTCGCGATGCACTTTGTGAGCATTGCGGAGGACAGAACAGGTGTGGTGTGCGAGAGAGAGCTGGGCGTGCCAGTGCCACACACACACACACACGTGCCCATCTGTGTGTGTGTGTGTGTGTCCCTCTGTGTCGGCCATCAGACTTGATGCCGCTGCGTGTGAGCGTCCCGCCATCCCTGATCTCGCCCCCACACACCTTCACGCGCGTCAAGGGCCTCTTTGACACCGTGTGTCAGTACCTGCACACAGAGGTATCCGCCTGGCCATCCATGGTCCACTCACCGACACGCAATAGGTGTCTTGTGTTGTCAACGCGCAGGCTACAGCGATGACACACCAGATGCAGCAGCAGAGGAGTGCTGGCGTGTGGGGTGGGGGCGGTGGTGCTGGTGGGGCGGCGGACGACGGTGAGCCACACACACACGCGCACAGACACACACATACAGAGAGAGAGAGAGAGATTCGTGTGTGTATGTGTGTGTGGATGTCAGTGTGCCCTCCCTCTCCGAAGGTGCTGAGCAGCGGTGTGCTGTTCCTCTTTCGGTTTGTCGTCACGTACGCCTTCAGCCCCGCCCTCCTCTCAGAACACCCCTCACAAAGTGGGCACGCACACACGCACCACAGACACACGCACACCACTCACTCACGCCCAAACACACGAACCTCTCTCTCTCTCTCTCTGTGTGTGTGTGTGTGCAGGTGAGGTATCTGAGCTGGCGGCGCTGTCGCACCACTGGCTGGCCGAGGTGCTCTCCATCGCGTGTTCCTTCCTCTACCTATTGCCCAACGAGCTCTCCCTCGCACTCACATGCGCAAGGGCACTGCAGAGGCTCGCTATGCTCGACCGCGTCAAGGTGGGAGGGTGGGTTTGCCTCTAACCGCCACCTGGCATCCATCCATCCATCCATGTGTGTGTGGTGTAGGAGACACCTTTGGTGTGTGCCATGACGCGCACTCAGCCGTTTGGGCAGCTGCTGCAGCAAGTGCCGAGGCTCTGCTCGCGGGCGACCGTGCCGCACCCCTCTCCCTCGCCCCCCTCCACCCCCACCCCGCCAAAGACGCCCCCAGCTGTCGAACTGAGCAACCTCGCCACCGTGAGGCTCCTTCCTTGATCCAGACGTGCAGACACCATTGTGTGCTGTGTGTTGGGTGTTGTGTGTTGGGTGTTGTGTGTTGTGTGTTGTGTGTTGTGTGTTGTGAGTCGTGTGGTGGGTGCAGGTGGACTCCAAAGTGCTAATTGTGCTCTTCTCCGCGCTCTCGAGTGCGATATGCGCGGCGCAGCATGAGCACGACAAGAGCGCCGGCACCGGGATGGTCAACGGCAGCGGGGGAGCGCCCCACCCCATGCAGGAATTCCTCGCGAGATGCGACTGCATCAAAAGTCAGTCAGTCAGCCACATGGCCACTGACCCCTCCCTCTCCAACTCAGACCAGACGTGTGTCTTGGTCTTGGGTGTCTGTCACCAGGTGCCATAGAGGACCTCTGTCAGGGCCACGATTTCGTCGCGCATCGAGGCGGCCACCGCACGGCGGTGTATGCGCGTCTTCTGGCGATGCTGACGGGCATCGTCCGGGGCACCAGGGTGCACTTCGTGTGGCTCGTGGACTGGCTTGGGGGCTGGAGTGGGAGTGGGATGGGGATGGGGACGCTGCAGCTGGTGGTGCAGCTGACCACCATGGACAGGGGGTACATCATGTACCCCAATGTCGTGCTCAGGTGGGTGAAGGAGTGAGTGGGTGGACACACACGGAGAGAGAGATGGGTGGACAGGTGCACTGCGCGCGTGTGTGTGATGTGATTGCAGGACGATGAAGTTCGTCCTAGAGCTGTGCAAGGGCAATGTGGGTGCGCTGCGAGTCGAGCAGAGGGCGGCGCTGCTGCACGCCGTCTCAGCGCTGATCGAGAGCTTCGCATTGAAGTACAGAGACGTCAAGTCGGTATCCGACGACCAGGCGGCCATCTACAAGCTCGTTGACGCGGCCTTCAGGTGCCTGCCTTTCGTGCCCCTCCCCTCCCTCTCGCTGTGTGTGTTGGATTGGGTCGGGGGAATGTGTGTGTGTGTGTGTGTGTGTCTAGGTGTGTGCATCAGGTGCAGTGTGGCGAGTTCGTGGGCCACTATGAGAGCGATGAAACCTTCCAGCTGGCCATGGCCGCCACGCACCTGATGGGCCCCTTCCTGACACACCTCACGCAGTCCCACAAGTAATGACCTCCTGGTGGTTGTTGCGTGGTTGCATTGCCTGTGGAGGGATGGAGGGATGGATTTGTGTGTGTAGGGCGTGTGTGTCGTTTCTGTGTGTGTTGGGCCATCTAGTGGACCACCACTGCGACGCCCTCATCGCACAGACCACACCCCACCTCACCGTGCAGCTCGTCCACACGGTACACACAATCGCAGAACCCCTCCCTCCCTCCCTCCCTCCCTCCCTCCCCACCAACAGTTGTGTGTGTGTCAGGTACGCGACATTCTCCTGCTCGAGAGTGATGAGTCGCTCTCTGCAGCGTCCGGCCGGCAATCCCGGTCGCTCCGTGAGCAGGCGGCCTCTTGTGTGGAGGCCCTCACGGCGTTCGTCGCCCAATGGGAATGCCAGTCGTCCGGCCGTGAGACGGTCACCCCTGAGTCAGACCCCTTCTACCTCTTCGCCCAGGCGCAGGAGACCAGCGACGGCTTGTTCAATCCGAAGCTGCCGCTCCCACGGTAGCAATTGCCACGTCCATCCATCCATCCATCGCTCTGCCACGGCTGTCTATGTGTGTGAAGGTCAACGAGCACGGCTGACCAGGAGGACTGTGGGAGCACGGCTAGCAACAAGCGGCTGCGGGGCGGCGTGGACAACGCCCGGAGCGTGCGGGTGGAGCTGCTGCGGGTGGGGGTATTGCTGGTGACCAAGGCGATCGACACGCGAGTCACCAACCAAGTGTTGAAGGTGTACGGGTGGCTGGGCTATCGAATCTACGGCCTGGTGGTGGGGCTGGAGAGAGGGCCGCAGGAGTTCAAGGAAAAGATCTTGCAGGACGTTGCGGCGGTGAGTATGCCACACACAAAGACCACTCAAAGAGAGGCTACAGGTTACCTGCCTGTGTCTGTGTGTCTATGTGTGTCAGGGGCTGTCACGCCCGGCCAGTGCTGGCAACCTCCCTCCCCTGCACCACCCCCACCTCCCTCCGTCGCTCTCGCCCTCACTGGACGCCCTGCTCAACTCATGGACCCAGTGCTGGGCCACTCAGCACAATCATAACGGTGCACATGTCAGCAACGGCAATGGGCCCAACCACGTCCAGGCGCAACCGAAGGGCTCTCGGAGAGGCGTGGTTGATGGGCATGTGCGTGAGCGGGTCGCTGGTGCGTTTGATGTGTTCCACCAGGAGTGTCGGGGGCTGCTCAGCTGAGGCAGCACATGACGACATAGATGACGACTCGGACAGGCAGCGATCGATGGTCTGTGGGGCCCTGGGGGGTAGGTGGTGTACTGTACAGAAAGACAGAGATTCTGAAGTAGAAGTCTCGTTTACAGACCGCCGACAGGCGCAGCGATTGGATGCATTCAATTGCATGATATGGACCGTCTGAATGTCACCGAGTCACTTCTCGTGCACTCACTCCACACACCCCCAGTCATCTCCACACATCCACACACTGGCCACCACACACTTCGTCTCAGCCACTCAGCCGCGCATTGCATTCATCGGCGGGCCATGAGAGACACCAGCCGCGGAACGGGCGGGTGTGAAGCCGCCGTGCGGCACCCGGGGCCATCCGCTAAAGGCAGGCCCCGGCCATCCGGCAGCACCAGCACCAGCAGCAGCATGGAGGAGATGGCCGTCCCGGCGAGTGAGCTCAGGATTGGAAGACACGCGCAACAGGTGAGGGGGCCGCATTGGCCGCATCGCTGTCGCTGCTGCTGCAGTAGGGGAGAGGTGCGACTGCACCATTGGCACTGGCTGGGCCCTGACGACCATAGACAAGCCAGGGACCACCCGGATGGGCGGCGGCCGCCAGGGGGACTGCGTAAATGGCAGTGAGACACGGACAGGCAAAGGGCTTGATCCTAGCGACGACCGGGCAGCAGCAGCAGCAGCAGCAGGAGGAGGGGCGGTGCTGTGAGGGTGGGTCATGAGTCGCTGCGGAGCCGCGGTCTGCGAGCGGTATATAGCAGGGCGCCGGGGATGATGTGTGGTGGGATTGCTACTGGAAAGAGAAACACACAAGAGAAAATAAGAAAGGTGATGGAATCAGGCAGTGCGCACTGTCCCCGCGCCTACCGTGGCGGCTGGGTGTTCGTCTGTGGTTCTTGCTGCTGAGCAGTGGGTATCTTCTTGTCTTGATGCAGCACCTGGCGTTGGCAAACTCACTCACTCATTCAGAGCTCTTTCTGCTTTCCTTACCGCCCCGTTGTCATTCTTCACCTGATTTGTCGCCTTGTCATCGGTCGCTGTGGACCCACGCGCCCTCTGGTGGTTTGAAGCATGGCAGGCTGCCGCGGTGCGAGGCGGGGGAAGAATGAGGGCATCGGTTGTCGGTCTGCACAAAGCAAGAAACACATTCCGTGTCTCTTCTTGGTCGAAATCGTCACTTGGCGGTCGGCGTGTTATGGTTGCAGAGAGCTGCTGCCATCGAGAGCGGGCTCTGCTTGTCGCGGACATCAAAGAGAGGCACGGGTGAGGTCTGGGTGGCAGAGTCTTCCATCTGCGCTTGTGCGCCAGGTGGTGGCGAGTTCGCCCGCCTGGCCGTCAGCACGTCAGGCGACAAAGACGACAGAAAATGGGCGAGGAGGTTCCCGTACTCCGCCTTCGAGCCCTCAAATCCCATTGGACACGGGTCGAGGTCCCCAGCTGCCGACACCTGGCGATCGACGCTCTCGTCGTCTCGGCTGGCCCTCCTCCTCGAGAGAGTGTCTTTTGTGCTCTCGCGGGTGATCAGCCGCTGCTTTGGCTGAGCTGCCTTCTCTCCCTCTTGCTGCTGTTGCGGTTGATGCTGTGTGGGGTCTGTGACAAGGGACAGCGACTTGCTCCGGTGCACCAACGAGCGTCGCCTGTTCCGCACAAGTGCCAGCCGCAGCCTCAACTTGTCCCTGTCTTCCTTGTCCCTCCTCTCCTTCTCCAGCCGCCGCGCCGACCGCTCTGTGCGTATTGTGATGTCAATGTTGAGCGGGTCGCTGTCGGTTTGCTGTGGCGGCTCGACTGTGGGTGGTCCATAGGCGTAGAACGGGGTTGCGGGAAGGGATATCACCTTCTGTGACGGCCTGGGGGCAGGGGCACCGACGTATGGGTGGAAGAAGGGCTGTGGGGTGTTGGGCGATCGGGGCAAGAAGCTCTGCTGAGGCGGCGTGTGGATGGGTAGGGGAGGGAGAGGGCTGTATGGCATGTAGAAAAAAGGCGGGCGAGGATTGGGGAGCGGACAGTGGATCAATGGTGGGTGAAATGGCGGCACCTTGCTTATCGGACGCTGCTGGTACTGCTGCTGTGGCTGCTGCTGCTGTGGCTGTGACTGCTGAAGTGGAGGGGGCGGCGCTTTGCTCACAATCGCTGGACGCTGCTGAGTGACTCGAGGATGGAAGGAAGGCACAGAAGGGCGGCCGGCCATGCTGTAACCATATGGAACCAAAGTCGCGTCGCGCGTGGCAGCAACACGCCTCTCCACGCACTCCTTCTGCCGGACCCTCTCAGCACTCCTCGGCCTCTCCGCAACACGTTTCCTCTCCCTCTCTGGCGGGCCAGCCTTCCACACATGAGGGCCGTGTCTCATGCCGGCGGCACTCTGCGTGTTTCTCCTCTCCGGCCCTGTCGATCGGCTTCTCTTCAGCTCCTTCCTGCTCAGCCGCGGCATCCCGAGTGGCGTCTTCTCCCACTCCACACATCGCCCGAAGGCAACAGTGTATTTCTTGCAATCAGGTGGGAGCTGTCGCGACAGCAGGTCTTGCTTGGGCGGCTGTGAGGAGTATGTGGGGATGTTGGTGGTGGAGCCTCTGCGGATCTTCGGGCGGCTGTTGACTGAGGCGGGAGGAGCCGATGCGGCTCGCTGTGCGGCTCCCCGATTGGGCGGTGGGCTTTCGAGAGACACTTTCTCCTCCTGCGCACAGTAGATGTATCGTTGAGACGATCGTGCACGCGGCATGATGTTTCTGTCTCTCTTTTGTCAATTCTCTCGTACCGCCGGTCTGTTCTCCTTGTCAATTCTCATGTTCTCTACAATGGCTTTCTTGACATGCTCGAGGGAAGGCACCTTTGCAAACCTGCTGTCTTCCTGGGCGCTCTGCCTTGCCTCCGCCTCAACACGCCCGCGCCTTTCCTCCTGCTGCACCTTCCTGGCAAACACATGCGACGCCTCAGCCCGATGAAACCCAGCTGCTATCGCGGGCACCGGCCGCTTCTGGCTGCCGTCTCTCTCAGTCGCCTTCTGCTTCTCCTCAAAGCCTTCCTGCTTCTCCTGCTTCTCTTCATCGCAGTCAATTGTGGTCGATCGCGTCCGCTTCTTGGCTTGCTGTGGCGGTGGCGGCGTTTGCTTTTCTGCTGGTGCCGATGCCGATGCGGGGAGAGGTGATGGGGCGACGGGAGAGGCGAATGAAGAGGGGAGGGAGGGGGTGTAGGTGCTTTTGGAGGAGGGAGGGTGGATGCAGGCCCTCTGAAAGAGCGTCACGAAGCGCGCCCACGAGACGGTGTCTCGCAGGAGTTGCGGAGGGTCGGTCGGGTGGTACTTGACGACAAGCAGAGGCACGATGCTCACACTATAAACACACGTACACACACACAAAACAGAGTAGATCGGAGACAGACACCTGGATCGAGCGAGTCAATCACCTGTCGAGCTGCTCAAAGATGCACTTCAGGCACAGCGTCAATATGGACTTGGAATAGGGCACCTCGTCGCCGCCACCAGCAGCACCAGCACCAGGAGCCCTGCGCCTCTTGCCATCTCCAGGAATCAACGCCAGCAACACCATTCTGCAGCCAACACACACACACACACGCGGAATGGGCGGTTGCAGGATATTTGTCTCTCGACGGTGACCTGAGAGCCTCAATTGATGTTCGGATGGAGACATCGACAGTGCTGGCGGCCATGGGGCTGTGAGGCGGGGCGGGCGGTGCGAGATCGACAAACCAGATAAATGCCTCCCTGCAAGCCGCTCACACAAGCAGCGGCTCAGAGACAGACGCACACAGAGTATATCTGCTGTCTTGTTCATGCCTTGCTGGTGGGACGGCTGAGGGGCGTGTGGTTGCCTCCAGGTGCTTCAGGCACTCCGAGACACGAATCTGCGCACACAGAGGGTGAGGTGGGATGATCGCAGCGCTTCAGTCCTTACGATGAAGAAGGTGTGCCCGGTCGATGTCTCAGGGTTGAGGGCCGTCTGCTCGAGATGGCGGTACGCATCCCCTTTGAAGATCTGTTGGTAGCCCTCCTTCTCGTTCTTGACGCTGACAGATGACAAACCGACCAAATCTACTCGCCCCCTCGCCTCCTTGACATACACCTGCACACACAGACACACACGATGTCCACAAGCTCTCTCTCTTGATGCCTGTCCGCCTTGCAGCACCCTTACTGACCGGTCTGCCGCCTTGCAGCAGGTCAATCGCCTCCCCCCGGAAAATCTCGAAAAAGGAAATCCGCAGCTCACGCTTTGTGTCCTCGTCTCTCGCTAGTTGGAACAAGTGCGAAATGGCCCTCGGAATCAGCCCCCGCTGGTCGAAATGGGAAGCGCCGCCTGTGGTGGTGTAAGTCTTGCCAGCATTTGAGCCGCCTATGGCAACGAAGAGGGCGGTCCGAAAGGATCGGTAGAAGGCCTCAACGGCTGGACGGGCGACGGCATCGTACACCTGCTCCTGTGAGGTCTCTGCACACAACAAAGCCGACCAATCCTCTCACTGATCCACTCCGCCCAGCCATCGCAGAGAGACGACGCGCACCTGGCCCAAGGACTTTGTCGAAATGAAACCGCACCACACGAGCCCCTCCCTCTGTCGGCCCAGTGCAAGCAGCCTTACTGCGGCCGAACTCGACACAATCGCTGCCGTAGCTCATGCCGCCGTCGTCGGTTGAGGAGCGGCCATTGATCAGGCAGGCCGAGAACGAGCGGGGCTTGTCGTCAGGAGGCAATGGGATGGGCACCGACGGCAGCGAGTCCTCCATGTCTGGAGGCATGAAGGACGTCCACGTGTCGTTGATCTCCCGCCCCTCGGTGGGTTTAGCCCTGGGAGGTGAGCTTGGTCCGGCTGGCAGGGGCGGGCTGGTGCCAGTGCCGGCGAGTTGTGCGGACTCGGAGGCTACGACAGTAACACCATCCTCGGAGTCCTTCGTTGCGTCCCCCATGTCGGGATCTGTCAAATGGATAGGAGACTTCACCTTCTCTTCCTCAGGCTCAACGGGAATTTGTGATGCATGCAGCAGAGACGCCGGACGCCCCGTCCCCGCCCCCACGTCAGACGGTGATTGAATTCATTAATTGGCCATGCAAACGATGCATGTCATTGGAAGGTCAGTGTCCCCGTCCTTGGCCGGCCTGCCTGCCTCTTGTCAGCCAGCGAAAAGCCGCGAGCGAGTCGAATCAGTCAGCGCATCATGTTGCGTACACTTACTGTTGGTAGCGATGGTAGGGAAAATCACATGCGCATACACACAACACAGCCGCGGAAGTGGCCGGGGTGTACGTATGTATGTGTGTGTGTGTGTGTATGTCGTTGTACGAACGCATGTTTGCCCTCGTGACGGTCGTGCCGTCCCAGCCAGCTCGTAATTATCACCCAGTGGCACGCACGAATGCACGCATTAATGCACTCATCGACACTGAAAAAGCACCGAGACAGACAGAGAGAAGAAAAGCAGGGAGCGAAGGGGAAGAAAACGTGCCAATTCACACACACGCAGACACAGACATGGAGCGATTCAAGCGATACCTAGACATACAACCAGCCTTGTGGCAGAATGCCAAAAACCTTCGTGTCTCTCTCTCTCTCTCTCTCGCTCTCTCTCTCTCTCTGTCCCTCCCGCCGCAAAACACACAGTCTTCCTTCCACGAAAAGAACTACATGATTCATGATGATGGCGCTTAAATGACGCCCACACACAAAGCGAACGAAAAGAGCAATGAGCATACGGGTGCATAGACGCACGCGTATGAAGCGATATAAAAGGCCAGGTGCCCATATGAAAAGTCGCGTCCTCCTCCCCCTCCCCTCCCCGTTGCCATCAATAGGGATTGACAATTGTGACCTTTGGCGGCTTTTTCGTTTTCTTCTCGGCCGGCTTTTTCTTCGCCTTCCTGAGGTTGCTGAAGCACGCCGGCGAGGCCACCACGTTCGACTCTCTCAGCCGCATTCCCTTGTCGCCGAGGGCCACGGCCCGGTAGCTGATGCATCGCTTTGCGTCGGACGCATCGACATCTGTCGAGTGCTCGAACCGAGTTTTCTTGTGTCGCCTGATCCACTCGAATCTACCGGCGCCATTGGCCCGCTCGATCGACCAGCCTGCGAGGGGCTCACCAGCCGCCGGTACCCAGCCGTTCCACGAGTAATAGAGAGTGCCGTTGTCGAGCAGGAGGGCGGGGGGCCAGTGGGGGGTGACGTTTCGCCACTCGTACTTGCGAGCTGCATCGAGCAGAGGGAGAAAATGAGGGTCTACAACGACGTGCGTGAGACTCACTCACCGCGGTAACTGCTGGAACCATCTTTCCAGTCGAAAGACAGCAGCACTTCGCCGGTGTCTCGCGAGACCTCCTCGACGAACGGCAAATGGCCTAGGATGCCCAGACCGCCCCAGCCCACGATGGCCGTGCCGTTCTTGGTCCACTGGACACTGCCGTTTGCCAACGAGACGTACCGATGCGTCTTATTTCTCAGCCCGCCATAATGGGTGAAAACCGGTGTCGCGACCTTGTTGGCCTCGTCGAGCTCGTACTCGACGACGCGCGAGCTGATCCAAGACGTGGTGCTGATCACACAGACAGGGGCAAGAGAATAGAGGGGTCGCTGTTTGTGCTTGGTGGTGGTGGGGTTATGGGACATACTTTGCGTGTTTGTTGGCATTGTCGAAGAGGACCAGTCGGCCGCCCTGCAGTGTGGCGTCGTGCTGGCCCACAAACGGCTTCTCGGCCTCTGACAACACACACACACACACGACACATGCATGGCCATTCTAGAAAGATCGAGCACAGGGCGTCGCGGCGCACCTGCATCTGTGGTGTTGCCGCCACTGGCAATGGTGAAGTCGTTGAGGGCGGCTGTTCCCCCAAACCTCCACATAACCTCGCCCGTGTCTCTGTCGATTTTCAGCACCGCGCTGAGCCGCCGCCAGCTCACGAGGATGCTGTTGTCGTCCGTGAAGGTCGCCGAATTCTGATAGGCATCCACAACGACACGTGTGCCTGCGTGTCGATCAGAATACCGCCTTACCTGGTGTATCAGATCCCACTCTCCTGGCGCCGTGCCGGGCTCCTCAACCCCAAAACGAGCATCGGATTGGGCGACCAAAGAAGGCAGCTCGAAGTGATCCTGATGGCGACAGGGCCACATCGGCAGAGAATGAATGTCACACACGAGGTTCCCATCTTTTCTCGCTTTACCCAAGAGCGAAACTCCATGACGACATTGTTGGCGACATCAACCTCCTGCACGATGGCCCCTATCAATGTCACGTACTCGTCAGGGGCGCCATCGAACATCCCCTTGACGTTGACGCGCTGCTTGTCCTGCACTGTGAACAGGCGATTGCCGTTGTTGCCCGCCAGCCGAAAGTCATGAGGGTCCAGCGCGTAGCCTGCAAGGCAACGTGGAAGGAAGGGATGGATGGATGGAAGGCCTCTGTTAAAGCGTCTGAGCGTGAGTACCATGCTCCGGGTGATGTCTGCGTACAAACCGCAGGCTTCTGTCTTTCTCGACAATATCAATACCGGCATACGCCAGAAAATGCCCGTTCTCCTCCGACACACCGATCAGCGGCGGGCCGGTGCCGGTCTCCGGCAGCCCCTGCTGCGCCTCCCTCTCCTCGTAATACACCAGATCGCCAGAATTGTCGACCACCACGGCGTAGGGATACCACACATTGTTGCCAACGGTGTCCCTGTCCAGGCTGTTGGAGGCGAAAATGCACCCCGGGGCCAACTTCTCGGTCTTCGGCGGGCCGCGGATTCGCATTCTCGGCAAGTGGAGGGGGATGGTCTTGTAGCTGTTGTAGGGGGCCTCGTACCAGTCGCTCTGCATTTCCTCGACAGCTGGGGGGAGATCTGATGCATCTTGCAGGGCCCGCAGTGCGCCGTGGGGTAAGTGCCGGTGATTGGCTAGCAGCCTGCGATCATTTGAGGTGTCGTTCTCCTCCTCGTCATTCCCCTCGTAGATAAGGTAGCCCGACAAGTCTGTCTCGGACACATGGAACGACCATTGGACGCCTGAAGAAAAGCCAGAGAGCGACCAAACGACCATCAAGGGCGAACGAGTCCCTCCCTGTTTGATACCTACCTTTCAGCCACTTGTCGGCTTGCGTCATGAGACCAGGGTGGACCCTCACAGTGACCCATTCGCCAGGCTTGAATGGCTGCTGCGGCTTGAACAGCAGCGTGCGGCCGTCCTCTGAGAGCCTCGTTAGGCCATCATGCAGCCCCGTCTCATGGCCGTTGACCTCAATCCTGCCTTCGACCGTGCCCTGCTTGAGGGGCTCGCCCTCACGCACACCGATGCTGGTGAAAGCCGACACGTACCTGCACGGGCACAGCACACACACACAGTGTGTGCTGTGCCTTGCAGGGGCTTTTCGTTCGTTCGTTTGTTACTCTGCTCTTGGTCGCGGGTGTGCGTAGATGAGGTCGCTCTCGGCAAAATACACGTAGCGGCGCTGCTGTTGGTCCTGATCTTGATGCTGCTGGTGGTCCTGGTTTTGGTGCTGCCAAGGTGGCTGCTGCTCTTGATGCTGCTGGGGAGGGGGCTGCTGCTGATGGTCTTGATGCTGCCATGGTGGCTGCTGGTGCTGCTGATGGTCTTGGTTCTGCTGCCACCAAGGTGCGGGCCATGGTGCGGGTGCAGGCGGCTGTTGTTGCTGGTGTTGCTGCCACCAGTTGTTTGGTGGCCATGGCGCCGGCTGCTGCGCGAGCACAGAGTGGAGGAGGAAGGGCAGCGTGGCCACGAGCATATTGCACCGACGACAAGCGGCCATGGTCTCCATCCCGCATTCAGCAGGCGCCTCCTGCACGTCGTGCCAACGGCCTTGTAAATGCATACGAAAGCGAAAGCTGAAAAGGCGGTTTTGGACAAGCAGAAGGACCGGAGGAGCTCCCTCGCTCATATCAAGTCGCGTGCCGTGAGGCACTGACTGCCTGCAGTGAGGAGGAGGAAACGACCAATGCTCTCGTTCATTCCCTGCAGGCTGCATTTGAGCCAGTGAGTGTTGCCAGTACCCACAGACCCCCAGCCGACACGACCACGGCATCGACACCGACCCCATGGGTCGGGGGCGATTCAGAGGGGACATGCACGCTGCACACTGCCTGCAGCCAGGCAGACGAGGGATGCAGCATGGATGGATGGATGGAGAGGAGACGACAGAGCGTCGTCGCGTGCCGTGCCGCGCCGTGCCGTGCCGTGTCAGCCAGTCGCAGAAGAAGGGACGAAGCCAGGGCTACCGACTCCACCGCCCTCTCGCGAGAGGGGAGGCGCCCCGACGGAAGAAGAGGAAGGTACGAAAATCACCATGTTGATATCCTTGTGTGTCGTCTCTGCAGAGGGCGTGACTCTGTCTGGTCACAAGGGCTATGCGAAGGGGGCGTTGGAAGGGGGCGAGGACAACTGGGGACGATACGAGAGGGTCAACCCCCAATTCGGCTGCAGCCACGACGACAAATCCACCACCAACTTCTGGCTTGGAGAAACATGTGAGCAAACGACACATTGGCCTCTCAACGGAGACATCAATGCTGGTCTGTCTGTGTTGTCATGTGGTCAGATCCGGAGGTGGAGAAGCACTGCGGGCCGCGTTTCTTTTACGAGCGTCGGGAGGGTCTTGGGTGCAAGGCCGACATCCTGCGGGTGCAGGAGTACCGGTCCTTCAACGAGAACTTGTGTGAGGCCGAGTGCAGCCTCAACCCCATGTGCATGGCGTACTCTCTCAAGGTGGGGGACACCGACCCACCGTCATACCATGTGTGTCAGGTTGACGCGAGCAACAGCAGCAAGGTCTTGTGTCGTCTGTGCAAGTTCACGAGCCCCGAACACTTCAACCGGGAGGACCACACCTTCGCCGGCCTCAAGATGCGCCACCCCCATGACTACCCCCACCCATCACATCCGCCCGTCCCATGCGGACCGCCAGACGGCTGCTTCGTCCAGGCCCAGCGGTCCGAGGGCGGCCCGGGGAAAGCCTGCGACCACAAGATGGCCCCTTCGGTGAGGGAGGCGGACGGCATCAGCGAGCAGGTGGCCGTGCATCTCGTCGACGTGGCCTCCATGAACAGACACGTCAAGAACACACACGACCCCATTGTTGACATACTCTGC